TAATAAATTAATTTCGCATTAACTGGTGAATTGAACCATAATATGCATCAGTAGCTCAAAGATGGTTCATCGCGCTATAATTTATTGCTAGCTGTAAGTACTACTGAAAACGAATTTATCTGAAAGATGTGCTGATGCAACTGCTGTTACGTAAGCCTGCTGAAAAGGCAGTGAAAGGCATAGCGTAGAGTAAGTTCGAGATGGCAACGTTCTTCAGTTAAGGAGGAGTTGCGAAGCTCTTCATCGGTCTTAGATGTCTCCGCAGCTGATTCGCTTGCGAAAAATGCTTTGCGGATATTGTTATAAGTTCGAACAGGTTGCCTACCCGTTTTTGCATTACATTCTTGCATCTCTCTATCCTTTGCCCTCAGATTACTTAGGGTAGACGTATTAAAAACGAAAGTTGATAAACGTTGGGATTTCGGTCTCCCTTATATTTCCGTGGTTGTGTGTCATTTTTGACACATCTTCATTGATGGAGCTTATAGTGCGTCGTTGATCTCCATTTTTGTCAGCAGTGAATGCTTTGTTGTTTCCCTTTTTCAAGCTGATATCTACAGTTCTTGTTTCCTTCCCACAAACTGGTAAATATTTATCTGCCACTTAGGGATGAAAGGCGTGTGATCGCACCGGGATTCCAACCCATGATTTTTGAATTGTATATTCGACTGAGCAACATTGGTCGGTGCAGTCGTAAGTGGAGTATAATGTAAAGCGGCATCGAGCAGAAGTTAGATTTCTTTTCACAACTTCTAATAAGCAGCAAAGTAGTGGCGATGGCTGTAAAAAGTAGTAGTCCCTGTTTGGTTTGGCTCTACATTACCAAATGTAAGTTTGTCTTAGTTATACAAGTTGCTGTTAGTTACCAAAACGGTCGCACACCCGAATTATGCCGCGAAATCCGGAGAAGTACAGGTATATGGTATTCTCATCAGCAGTATCGGAAATTAACACTTTACTAATAAATCTAGAATATCCGGATTGTTTTTGTATGTATGTGTATTTGCCTGCGGATAAAGGTATTTTAATTGATGTTCAATAGGTTGTTTGTTATTCTGGTCAGCAAATGATGCATCGAGACGCTGCATTTACCATAATTTCTTGGAGCTATGGCCTGCTTCAAAATTGAGGAGAGTCTGCAAACAAGGGGACGAGGCGACTACAACATGCAGATCCGGAGAAGTGACACGTTTATGTTATTTACCCAGCGGTGTCGAAAGCTAACTTGGCACTAAATCCATAGTATCATGCACATCCATAAGTTATATGTAAAACCGCGCATGAAAGTATTTATGTTTGTGATAGAACTGGCTATATTGATCTGCCGACGAACTCAGCATTGTACGGTTTTCGTCCATGTGCTGCAATTGCCATAAATGCTATAATGTTATGAAACCGTTACCTGCTTTTTCAAGTCCCTCAAAGTCTTTGTATAAATTACAGAACGGCGCGATTACTTCATGTAAATCCCGTTGCTGTGATTCTTTTAATCATCTATTTAATCCCGTCTCTACCTTGAGCTGTGCGTGGTACAGACGTTGGTAGTAAGAAATGTCTTACGCATAAAATTGTCGGGATATTTAGGCACTTTGCTTAAACTCATGTGTGTAAATACTTTAGCGAACGCCATTTTCTATTTATGTATAATATAGTATATGGTATATAGTATTATTCGGGGATTGCGAGACCATTATTCAACGTTGTCATCTCAAGATGACAAACTCCCGAACCTGTGAGGCAGTCCAAGATTGGTTTCCTGGTTTTCTCTGATTAAGCGCTTTCATTGGCACCCAGTTGGTTGAGTTTGAGAAGTATGGTCCCCGTAGGAAAAGGAAGTTTATAAGTGTGATGCTGCGCTACAACGAATTCTAGCAATAGAGAAGTGTAGGATGTCATGACCGAATTGACTTTGCAGAATGCTGAACGCCTAACCGATCGTTTCTGGTAACTTTTGTAATCGCATTTATTTTGCTCGACCCACTCTGAGAACGAAGTAGACGTAAGATTTGATGCATTGCCATTGTTTATTTTTGTGAGGTGTCAAAGTTTCTCTCTGAAGAATAGTATGTGAATTGGTCATTTGGTTGCGTGTTAAACCACTGTGGCTGATGTCAGACTTCTCTTGTTGTTCTTATCAACCTCCCCTTGGAGGTCATGTGCTTTAGAGGTTGCTAGTTGCTAGGTTGTCTTAGTAGAGACGTCTATTGCGTTCAGTTGCTAGTGATTAATTAAGGCGTTTCTAAAGATTTTTCATCTAGCTGGACCTTAAATGTTTTTACGGTTTACCTGCAAATTGTTTTAAAAAAATGAATTCTTTAGGCTATTCAGATGTTTTCTTTATCTAACTTAACAGCCTTTTTCGATCCACTGTTGGATGGTGGCCTTCAAGATTCTGTTACAAACTTATGTTTTCTGTGATTCTTATCTATCCTGATCCAGTGAAATTCTTTATCTCATCGATAAAGACGATTTTACAGCCTGTTTTTCGATTGTTCTTGAACCACTAATCGGGAAACAAAGATTATTAAATGGTTTTTAATTTCTTCAAGTTTAGGCTTCTGTTTTGCTCTCTGAAGTGTATTTGAAATTTGAAGGTAAATTCTGTCTCTTTGCGTTCCACCAATGCAAAATAAATGTCGTCCTCTAGTAAACGGCTAGACATTTTTTTCACACGTTTTTTGATGTTACTTTCGTTAGCCATATGTAAAATTTATAGCATTCCATGCAACGGCTCTGTCTTATACGCCACCGAGTTTCAGATTTTTTTCAGCTGTCAAGAAATTCCGTTCTTGCCTATACAATTGCCCGGCCGTTGACCTCTTATGAACACAACTTTAAGACACTTTTTGAAATAAGATTTTCGGAATGAATAAATGAATCGAGGGTGTACTACCGTAATGGGTTTTTTCTTGATCTGGGAGGTGCTAATTATCTGAAGGATCTGCTAAGCAGTTATGAATGATTGATTTAGTATATTGATAAAGATTGACTAAAAACAAGCGTTTTCTTCGAGATATTTTGTAGCATTCATATGCTGGCAATTTTTCTTGAGTATTACAATAGGCGGTGCCAATTCGCCTCATATTGCATGCGCTGTTACTAATTAATAATGAGATAGGGTAAATTTAAGTTCTTTATTCAACTTGTAGTCGTTGTGGTTGCGCCTTGAGCGCAAGCCGACGCTCCGCTCGTACAATATTCTCTATTTTCCGCTCTTGCTTCCGCCGCTGGCCAAGTGATTTGT